CTCTGGCCGCAGCCCCTTCCTGTCCCCCACTCCTCAGGCCCCCGCATTTCTGCCCAGGAGTCTGGCACTCAGGACCTCAGTGTCCCCAGTGGCACACCCGGGTGAGCCCGATGCACCTGCCTGCTGCCTCTGTCTGCCTGCTCCCTGCCTCTCATCTGAAGTCAGGCGCACGCAGGCCAGATGGGGTCACAGGCGAGGAAAGGGGTCCTCGGCCAGGCTTCTGAGGTAAGGGGTGGGGGCGAGGGCCTTCCATGGCTCCTGGGAGGCGGGACTCACTTCTGGGCCTCCGCTGCACCTCTGAGGAAGCATGGAGAAGAAGCCAGGCATTGAGGGAACGGGGAGCCTAGCAGGATGGTCTCCCAGGAGTCCCCAATGTCCCTGGAGCCCCGTCCGCCAGGTGCACAGGGCATCTCTGGATCCTGAAGAGCTTCAGCTCTGCCCCTCCTTGGCCGCCACGGGGTGCTTTGGGGGTCTGTGCCCAGCCGGTCTTCCCTCCCACCCTACGTGAGCCTCAGTGGCGAGGAGGAAACTGTAGTCACTGGAATTCGGTCCCACCTCCTCCTGCCACCCACTGCACTTCCCGGGCCCTGCTTTATTGGTTCCCCCGGAAGGGTGGTTGAAGGCAGTTGACAGGGTCACAGGGCCATGACCCTATCACGGCTGGGCTCCTAGGCCTCATGCGGCACCTACTTGGTGGGTCGTTGTGTCCCCATGGGGGAGTTAATGGGGAGTCAGCAGGGGAGGTGGGGAGCAGGAAGGTACCAGACAGAGGAGGCAGAGCTGGGGGGGCAGACAGGAAGGGACAGGGATGGGGGGACTGGTTCAGAAGAGGAGGAGGGAGGAGAGAGAAATCCGCGGCCCAGGAAGCCAGGCTGCATCCCAATGTCCCACAGCCTCCCTGGGCCATGCCTGAGAAATGTTGGCTAGAAAAGACAGCAGAGGAGAGGACGGAACAGCTTTGTTCATATTTATACATAATTTACCCCCCAGAAGAGAAGGGACAAAAACCCAACCGGAGATGCTTTGTGAGGTGTGCAGTTCCAGACTCTGTTGCATGGGTCTACTGTCCAGTGCCAAGTCTGGGGCCACCCTGCTGGGACCATGGAGTGGGTTTTGGAGGTGGCTGTTGTGGAAGTCTGGGTGTGTTGGTCACAGATGGGATCCTTTTGGGTGCTGGGAGGAGGGGTGCATTTTCTAGCGGTTCTCAGTCTTTCCAAGGTCAGGCCTCCTGTCTCCTTTCTTTGGAGGAGCAGGAGGTCCCTGGTACAGACGTTGCCTAGCTCTGAGTCCACACGCTCTATTCCACATCTGTATTTTTAACTCACTGTATTTTTTATGCAGAAGTATTTTTAAAATAAATTGCAGATATCCTGCCATTTCACTCTTAAATAATTCATCATTCATCTCTCTAAAAAAAGAGCTTCTTGCTACATAGCAAATTAATATCACCGCAGCCAATGCAATTAAGAAGCATTTCTGGAAGCCTTCTTGACCCTGTCCATGCTCACAGTTTCTAAAGGAAGTCCTGCTTTTTGGCAGTGAGCAGAAATCTGGGCCTGCCGGAGACCCGAGCTGTGCCCAGACTTCCCTGCCCTGTGCCTGGTGTGTAGCCTGGGCCCTTGGGAGACCAGGAAAGTTGAGAACTGGGAAGGGAGGCAGGAGACAGGGCTTTCAGGAGAAGACTCCAGGCTCTGGAAGACCAAACTGTACCAGGACACCAGGACGCCATCATGGCCTCTGGCCTGAGAGGAAACAGGAATCCTCAGCTGACTACCGTCTCTGTCGGCTGCGGTCACCCTGACTAATGTGGTTCACCCTTTCCTGTGCTGTCTATGGCCTGCCTGTGTCCCACGTCTTTAGCTCCTGCTTTTTCAACCTAGCTTCGTGCAATTGTCCCTTTCCTCTGTGTGTTCCAGAATCTTCCACGGCCTTCCACATGCCGGCTTGCCGCTGCGTCCCTGGGCTGGCTCCTTTTGTTCCTTTGGGGTTTTCCATTCACTGTGGATGTGCCGGTATCTGGACGTGGCCTGTCCCACAGAGATTCATGTGCCGAACCTTAGTCCTCAGTGGTGACCTTTGGGAAGGAGGTTAGGCGTCCACGCTGGTCTTGTGGAGCAAGTTCTGTGAGGATGAATTGTGTTCAAATGAGCAATGTTGCCCCCCTCCCCCGCTCTCTCCGGCTTCCTCTGTCACCAGTCAATTCTGTCACACATGTTCCCACCTAACGACACCCACCAAGTTGTGACACGACCAGGGCCTGAAGGGATGAGGCTGGCTCACCGACTCCAAACCTCTTCAAATGGACTCCTACACCTGCACACCTCACCTCGTGCGGCAGGGCCTCCAGAACCTTCTCCACCTTCATTTTCGAGAGAAATAACGTTCAGTGAGGGGCATGGCCTGCGGAAGTCCACCAGGGGCGAGCCTAGAAAACCAGCCCAGGCCTTGGACGAGTCTCACCACTTCTGTCACCAGGAAACTGGGAAGGGATATGGAGGTCAGAGTTGGAGTCGAGGACTGAGGTCAAAGCCTTATCATTTCAGTGCCTCAGAAAGGCCTCCAAGGGGGTCAAGGGGGTGGGCACCACAGATTTTTTGTTTTAATTCTGAAATTAGAGTGTCTAAGAAGCCTCAAGGAATCACGTTCAACTTCTTAGCGGAAGTCCCAGGCACAGAAGGAGCTCAGGTTTTGTGGATGTGGATTTTGTTTAGTGATGGGAATCATGAGAGGAGTTGAAAGAGACTAATTTTTTTTTTTTTTTTGTGGTACTGGGGATTGAACCATTGTCTTCACGTTGAGCCACATCCCCAGCCTTTTTTATTTTTTATTTTGAGACAAGGTCTCCATGAATCACTAAATTGCCCAATCTGGAGCTGGAACTTTTGATCCTCCTGCCTCAGCCTCCCAGAATGCAGGGATGACAGGTGTGTGCACCTCACCTGGCTGAGACCCACTCATTTTAAAAGAGAATGACATTCACAAAACACTGCCATTTCAGACTAAAAGGAACAGAGATGATTCCAAGCACAGCCAAAGGACTGAGGATTTAGCTCAGTGGTTCCACCGCCTGCCTCTCCAGCGCAAGGTCCCTAGTTTGATGCCCCCTCCCAAAAAACCAAAAACCAACAGCAAAGCACAACCAAAAACAAAGACAAAGAAAATCCCCAAATCTTTGCATCCCTCAAATCTCAAATCCTACTGAGAAAGAGGCCCGAGGAAACTAGGTTGCCTGCCCCATGGCTGTCAAGGGGGTTGTCTGTGGGCAGACAACTGTCCTCGGGCTCCAGGGTCTTCATGCTGGCTACCGTGCCCTGAGACCCATCCCAGGGGAAAGACACATGCCCAGGCCGGGCCACATGCTGATGCCCCCTCTGAAGAGACTTTTGGGGCTCTGGAGGAGGTGAGCGTATTTACACACTGGAGGGATATAGATTATTTCTGGCCAGAGTGTGTCCTGTGGGGAGTGAAACGTAGGAGAGGTGGATAAAAAATACAGTGAATGTTTAAATTAAAAAGAAAATAAATTATAGTAAAAGATACATTGCTAGCTGGGTGTGGCAGCACATGCCTGTAATCCCAGTGCTCAGGGAGGCTGAGGCAGGAGGATCAACTGTGAGTTTGGGGACAGTTGGGGCTATGTAGTAAGACCTGTCTCAACTAAAAAAATTTTTTCAAAAAGGACTGGGGATGTAGCTCAGTGTGGAAGCCTGGGTTCTGCCCTGAATACCACACGCACTCACACATACACACACACACACAGGAAAAGAGAGACCTTACCGTTTGAAGTTGGCCAACAGCTGAGGACTTCACAGACCAGAAAAGCTGTAGGCCTGGGAGGAAGCTGAAGGGAGGAGGGGTAGAAGTGGGTCACTTTGACCCAAGAGGCTGAGCGGGTGGGGCTGCCTCCTCCCCTTGCTGCCCTCTGGGGAGCCAGAGATGCTGAGGGGTGGGTCGCAGAGGAGCTGGGCACCACCAAGATGGCGCCCTGTAGGCAGAGGGAGGGAAGACCCTGGTGAGAGCCCCGGGAAGAGGGAGCCGAGATGCATCAGGGGCTGGCACACAAGACAGCATCTGGAAGACAGGAAGCCCCGTGGAGTGACAGGGGCTGGCAGGGTCAGCCTGGCCCCTGGCCTGGCCTCGAAAGCTGAGCGGTTAGGGCTCACATCCCCGCAGAATTGCAGCTGCCAGGGCAGTGTGGGGGGCACCACGATGGGGCAGAGGAGGGGCCCGGGTGGTGACGCTGGGCTCATGCCTAAGCAGCCAGTGGTTTGGACTGGGCTCCTGTTCTCAGCCTGACAACCAACCAACATGGAGTCCTCACACTAATGTGCTGCACCACCATGCCCAAGCTAAATTGTTTTGTTTGTTTATTGATTTATGGATTGAGCCCAGGGCCTTTGCATGGAGCTACATTCTCAGCCCTTAGAGAAAACAAAAAACAAGTCATTTTTAAAAATGTGAGCAAGGTCTGGCTAAATTACTAAGTTGTACCTAGGACGGACTTGAACTTGCCACCCTCCTGCCTCAGCCTCCCAGTGCTGGAAGTATAGATGTGCCCAACTTCAAACTGAATTCTTTATCTGACCTTCTGAGAAATCAGGAGAGAGATAAAAGCCAAATCCTTTAACAGGCTGGGTTCAACCAGCACGATAAAGTAGTCCCCTCTTCTGTCATGTTTACAGAAGAAATCACTTTGGATGAAGGAAATGGCCTTCTGGTTCTGCTCTCCCCAGTCTGTTTCTGTCTTACATCCAGGGTATAGAGCTGAGCGTCCGGAACCTATGTAAGTTCTAAGGGCCCTGGAATCCTGACTGGATTTTGCTCTTATGAGCTCTGTTACATGTATTTTGCCTGAGGTTTTTCTTTTCCCCAGGGGCTACAGGTGGTGTCACCAGATCAGGGGTCTTGTCCAGGTTCCTGACAATCTGAACAAAGAATTAGCAGCACACTCAAGGGAGTGGCAGAATCAAAGGTTTATTTGAAAGTGAAAGTCTGCTCCACTGGGCAGAAACAGCCAAGGAGAAGAGTTTGGTGCTGAGGGTTTGGGGTGGGATTGAGGCTTTGGTCTGCTGTTTGACTCCTGCCAGTGAGGGGTTTGGCTTGGCCCCTCTGCTGGGAGGTGGAATTTTTGACCTTTTACTGCCCCTGGTGGAACTGTCATGGTGTCCAGAGCCCTCAGGGGTGGGGTCAAATCTGCATAGTCAATGATATGGTAATTAGGAGTCGCCAAGGGTTGCCGAAGGCCACCTGGTTCTTATTGTACATCAGATGAGTTAACTGGTTCCTGTCTCCCATCGTGTTTAGACCCAGGCATCCCAGCCCTGGGCTAGTGTTGAACTCAGAAGGTGTTGATGGCTGAGGCGCCCACTTTTCCTTCAGCTACTTCCGGTCTCAGAGGTGGTGGGGGAGAATGGTCCCCAGGGCCTCGGGGGTGCTGAGATGTCACACTGGGCTTTGCTCCCATCAGAAGACGGTGCTGGCTTGGATGCAGACTGGTACGGGCAGGTGGTTGGTCTTGAGGGGGACCCTCAGGTTTGGCTCGAGAGGTGCAGCCGAGCTCTGGCCTTGTCTTTGCTGGACTGAAGGGTCGAGAGGTCAGGGAGCAGCTCCTGTTGGCCCAGGTCTGGGGGACCCTGGGCTTCTGCTTCAGGTCCTGTGGCTCAGGGGAGCCCTGTGGGCCTGGGGCTGGGGCCGGCTGCTCCCAGGACCCCCATCTATACCGTACACATCTGCCCCTCAAGACCCTGCAATGCCAGGAGGGGAGAAACAGGCAAAGTGACTTTCTGTTTTGAGACAAGTTCTCACTAAATTGCCCTGGCTGGCCTCACATTCCTCAGATGCCCAAGTGATCCTCCTGCTTCAGCCTCCTCAGTGCTGGAACCACAGGCACGTGCCTGCCTAGATGAAGTGACTCGGACCATTCTCGGACCCTGCCCCCTCGTCCCTACAGTCCCTGCCCCCAGCAAGCCTGCTCTGAGCCTGGCCTGACCCTGCTTCCAGACCTCTCCACTCACACTTTTCTGCCAGCTCTGCCTCAACTTCCCCACATGTCCCCTTCTTCCCAGTTTTGTCCTGAGTCTGCCCTCCCTCCCTCGGGACTTGGGATGGGTGGAGGCCTGGAATGGCGGCTCTGGGAGGCTCCCAGACAGGAGCGGTGGCAGTGGGGGGCGGATCCTGGACTGTGCAGGTTGGTGCTCCGGATGAGACAGAGGGGACACAGGAAGCAGAGGGACAGCAGAGACAGGGTGGGAGGAGAAGACAGAGGCGGAGGCCTGGGTTGCCCACGGGAGCTGGGAGGTTGCACCTGGATGTCCCAGGGTCACTTTCCCGCCATTGTTCGCTGGTGGACACCCTGTGAGCCTCTGTCCCAGGGCAGGAGCCGCCCCTGCTCCCTCAGCCTCAAGCGCAGCCCACACCTCTCACCACAGCAGGGCCAACAGTGCCAGGCTCTTGGCGACAAGGAGTCCGCAGAACCCAGGGACCAGGGCACAGGGGACCGCAGGGCCAGGGCAGAGGGTGGCATTCTGAGGCCTGGAGGGTGGAGAAACAAGAAGGGGGTGGTCTGTCAGGTCTGCTGCCCCCATGCTGGGCAGGTGTGGACAGGGCCCCTGTGCCAGGCTCACCACGCTGGCGTGGTGAAGGCAGATGGAGCCCAAGGGGTCTCGGTGCTTCTTCCTGTTGGGGACACAGAGCTCCAGGTCTTCGAGGAGGTGGGCTTGCAGGCAGCTTTGGAGGGCTGTGTGGGGGCTGGGAGAGGAAGGACCCCGGTTAGGAGTGGCTGGGACAGGGACATGAAGTCCCTTGGGTGCGGAGGAGACAAACCTGTGGCCTCAGCCCTGCCAGGCCCCCGCGGAGGCACCTATGAGTCAGAAGGGCCTGGAACAGGGGTCTGGAGGCCGAGTGGGGTGTGGTAGGAAAGCAGAGGGGCAGGGAGGCACCGGAAGGGAGTGGGGGCCCTTGGAGGGCCCCGAGGCTCACCTGGCGACACAGCCAAGTAGAACTTGTCAGAGTTGAAGACAGTGTTGCTGGAGGTGTGGCGCATGGAGCACCAGTAGTGCCCAGAGTCCTTCTCCCGGAGCTCAGCCAGGGAGACGATGAACAGGCCGGCTTGAGGCTCGTCCCAGATGGACAGCCGTGGGGCCCGGCCCTGGGCCATGGGGCTGGGGGCCAACTTAGCGCACACGAATCCTGCCACCTCCCGACATAAGCTCTTCTCCTTGTAGGTCTCGCCGGGAGATGGGTAGTTACACGTCACCGACAGCGTCTCTCCCACCACTCTTTGAAGTATCTGCCTGTCTGAGAGCACCCAGGAGCCTGGGGAGCAAGGCCGAGTGCCACCGCGCCACCCAGCCCGGCTCTCCTGTCACAGTCCCAGCTGCCCCACCCCCCTCACCTGGGAGCAGCAGCAGCAGCAGGAGTGGGAAGTGGATCCTCCAGGCCATGTGGCTCCTGTCCGGGGGTGGTCAGGGGGACCGGATGGCCGCTGATCCTGCCCGCTGTTCCTGCTCTTCAGACATGCACAGGGAGAAAGGCTGAGGCTGGGCTGGGACCGTGGAGGCCAAGTTGGTGGCCCAGGGACGTGGGCATCAATCTGGGCCCGGCCAGCACAGCTCCCAGGACCTTCCTGTCCCCAGAGTCCTCCGAGTCCCTTGTAACCACCCTGGGGGAGGAGCTGAGAAGGAGGGAGGAAGCTGCGGTCGGGCAGGGCCTGGGCCACACTTCTCTCTCTCCCTGCCTCTCCGAGGAAAGCCAGGATGAAGCGGGACATCGCACCAGGGCCCTGTCTGGCCAGGTACTCTGAGCCCCGGCTACCTGGTGGTCAGAGCGATGCTCCCCCTGGGGGGCTCTGTGGGGGCTGCAGGTGGAGAGTAGAGGAAGCGAAGGGAGGGTTCGAAGGACACAGTGCCGAGCGCGGGACGGCAGGGAGGGTGTGAATGTCGTGTTAGGCCAAGGGAGGCCGTGTGCAGCTCTGGTGCCACCGTGGGGAGCCTGGTTGAGGGGTGACGGTCACAGGGGTCCATGCTGGGACCTGCGTTCTGGGTACGGTGCCCTGGTCTTTGCAGCAGGAGTGGCTGGCAACACATGAACCCAGCTGGGGTCCCTGCCCAAGGGACCCGTAGTAAGGAAGCTAGAAGGGCACAGCCAACAGCCACCTCCCAGTGCAGTCGAAAAAGCGTGTTCACATCACTCTCTTAGAAGGGCCACTTCTTAGACAAGTGCCATATGGTGTGAGGTGAGGATTACTTAGCTTTCAAAATTAAAAAAAAATTTTTTTTGTGTTACTGGGAATTGAACCCAGGGCCTTTGCAATAAGTTACATTTCCAATCCCTCTTTTTTTGTTTTTAACTTTTAAGTTTGAGCCAGGGTCTCATTCAGTTGCTAAAGTACTCAGGTTAGGCTCAAACTCCAGGCGTGCTGGGACTACAAGCATGCACCACCGTGCCCCGCTTGCTTAGAGTTTTAGTGGACAGGATGCTGAGACCCACACTGGGGCGGTGACCTGCTGTCCGTGGCTTGGTGAGTGGGCGGTGTCGTGAGAACGGGTCTGCTGACTTCTACCCAGAGCTGCCCGCCAAGTCCAGCTGAGCGGGAACCACACAGAAGATGGGGCAGGAAACCGGGACCTGAGCGTGTTGAGTCCACACGCAGAGGCGAGTTCCGGGGCTTCCTCGCCTGCAGCCGAGCTTGGCTCCCCGCCCTTGACTTTGTGCTTCACCATTGGGGGTGGACGTCTTCCTAAGGGCCGGTGGGCAGAGGCTGGCAACCCCTGGGAGGTGTTGGCATCCCACGCCGGCAGCTCCGCTGGCCACGGCTGACCCAGGAGGGGATGAAGCTCCTTGTGTCCCCAAAGCACCCTTGCCGCACTGTGGACTCTGGGTCTCCCTGCCTGTGGCCGGCTCTGTAGCTCCTGTTGAGTCAGAATGGTCCCCGATCCCCTAGGGATGGGGGCTCTTAAAGGGCTCCCCAACGGGGCAAGCACCCCAATGGGCTCCAGGCCCTAGCGAACGCTGGTGAGGACTTGGCTGCCACCCTTGGGCTCCTCCACACGGGGGCCTGGAGCTGGGGAAGGGGAGCTGGGACCCATCCAGGTCGGGCTGGCCCTGCTTCGGGCTCACAAGACATCCGGGTCACACACTGGAGTTTTGCAGGCAGGGCTAGGGCAGGAGGCGGATGGGACTTGGCTTCTTTAGAAATCTCCTCAACATTTGGGCAGAAAACAGACGGAACCCTGGGGAGGGTATGGGGTATTGGGGCGAAGAGAGTCCCTCAGGGAACTCAGTGCCTCTGCGACTTCCCTTCCCAAGGGAAGAACGTGCTAGGAGAGGATTCGGGGCTCCCGGGGAACCCTGCCCTGCTCCTCCCATCCCTGACCTCCTTTTCATCCCGCAGGCCAAGTCGCACACCCCATATCTGTGTGTCTGTCCTTCGCCAGCTGCCCCACCTCCCCAAGGGCTCCCCAGGCACAGTCCCAGGGAGGCCACAGCCCTCTGGCAGGTTCCCAGACTCCTTCTCTGCCACCTCCAGTTCAAAAGGGGCCTCTGCCAACCAAGAGAAAATCATGCCTTCTAGAAAAGGCAGGTGCATGGGCTTTAATACTAGACTCGCAGGGGGGACACCGGGTCAACGTGGCCCCCAGCCAATGGCCTTTTCCAAAGAGATTTTAAAAGAAGGTAAATCCAGGGCAAACCAGAAAAGTGGCTAGCAGCAAATTAAGTTTCTGAGGTCAAACATAAGATCAGGGCAGTCAGAATGTAGAATGTAGGAGTAGAAGACGCCACAGCTCTAAGTTCTACCAGGAGCAGGGTCCCTCGGTTCTTCCATTCACGAACACTGTGTGCCGGTCAAGAATTTGAGGAAAGTTAATAATGGAGGAGTCAAGAACTCAAACCCACACAACCCTTGGATTGAGAATTCATGTCCGTAATTCACGGCTTGGATGAGGAACTTTAAATAATGGACGTAAATATTCTCAGGGATATTTAAAAGAGCAGCGTACTTCCGTATTTGGCAGACTTTTTATAAGGTAAAGCAAATTGCAGTATTATCTTTATTCATTAAGCTGACCAATATTTATTTATTTATGTATGTTTGTGCCGGGGATCGAACCGAGGACCTTGTGCTTGCCAGGCAGGCGGTGGAACCACTGAGCCAAATCCCTGGCCCACGCTGACCAGTATTTAAAAAACATTATCTGTACTCTGTTATGGAGAGTGTGGAGAGGCAGGTATTATCATATTGCTACGGTTTGTGTCTGGACATCCCCCCAAACCTCATGCGGTCATAGGCTATGTTGGAAGTGGTTTATCTACAGTGTGTGACTGATCCATGGTAGGGCTAGGCCGGAGGGCACTAGGATTAAGGGTGTGAGTGCTGTCTGCCCTAAATCATCTGGATAAGATCAGAGAGGCAGAAGAGGCTCTTGAGGTCTCTTGTTGCTTTTTCGGTCTTCCACTACCATGAACTGTTGCTCCTCTGCCACCCTTCCTTGGAGTCAGCTGGTTATGGACTAAAACCCATGCAAACTGTTAGCCAAATAAACCCTATCCCCTTGAACTATGGGTGTTGGGTGTTTTGTCGCAGCAATGAGAGAAAAGTGACTAAGACACGAATGTTCACAGTGGAAATATAAATTGCTCAGCATTCTCAAATGTGAATGAGAGGGATCTATGAAGTTTAAGGCGTGCATCCTTTGACTTACAAGTTCCACTTCTAGGTGTCCGTCCCCGAGAGGGCCTGGCCGTGTGCGTGGGTGTGCGCCTGCCTGGCGGGTGGGAGGAGGCACAGGAGAAAGGGAGCTCAGAGCCACGCGGTCCCAGCACCTGCCTGGCCGTGAGCATTCTCCTGGGCTGAGGGAGCCTCTCTAGTGGGTCCAGGGGAAAGCATCTCAGGGGTGCTTTTATACTAACCAGGGTGATTCACCTCCGGGACGTGATGGGAGACAGGAGTGCCCTGTGCTAATGTTTTCAAATTCCGTGTAGATGTGTACTGGTGTGAGTCCTTTGTCGTTTATTGTGCTGGGGACCCAGGGGACCTCTGCAATCCAGAAAAACATGTCCCCAGGTCTAAGGCATATATATATATTTAAAAAATATACTTTTTTCTTCGTAATACTCTCTTTTTCTTTTTCTGTTCTTAATTTGTTTGCTCGTTTCTCTGTGGAGTTTTCCCTGTGCTAATTTAGGCTTTATGACTCTATCCTCCAAATTTCTCATCTTTTCTCTCATACTTTTCATCTTCTTTAAAACCCTTTTTCCTGTGGCATCTCTGATAGCGGCACACACAGATCTTAAATGTGTACTCTGATGAGTTCTTGCAAATGCTGTCACCCACCCCCATATCAATATGGGGAATATTTTCATCAGCACTTTGATTCCAAAGGCAAACCTTGCTCTGGTTTCTTTCGCACAGGTTGGCTCTGCCTCTCCTGGAAATTCTTCTAAGCAAAAACATAGAATATGTATGCTTCGGAACCCGGCATTTTCCACTCATAGTCATGGTTTTGAGATTCATCTGTGTTGTCCCGTATGCATCAGAAGGTGGTTTTTGTCACTGGTAACATTTCATTGTATGACTACACCACAGTTCGTCTATGCACCAGTTGACGTTGAACTGTCATCCGGTCTGGGTTATCAGGAAAACAGCTTCTGTGATCATTCAAATCTTTTTATGGACACACAGTGTGTTGGCGTTTAGGGGCTGCAGACATATTTTCTATCAATTCTGGCAGGTGGCAGACTGAGATCGGGTGTCAGCTGAGAAGTCTCTCCTTGGCCTCCATATGGTTGTCCTTCTCCACAGCTGTCCACAGCTGGCTTCTCCATGGGAATTTCTCTGTATCCTAATCTTTTCTTATAAGGACACGAGGCATAATGGATTAGGGCTCATTTTAATGCAGTTTCCTAAGGTGTGCAGTTACATACGTTTGTTCTTATTCTACTTATTTTTCTGTATGTTGGTAAATTTTTAAAAATGAAAAGTGAAAGAAGGCTAAAATGTGGCTGGGCATGGTGGTGCACACCTGTAATCCCAGCCCTAGGGAGGCTGAGGCAGGAGGATCGCTGTGAGTTCGAGACCAGCCTGGGCTACATAGTGAGTTCCAGGTCAGTCTCAGATACACAGTGAGACCCTGTGGGTGTAGGGTTCGCTGACCATGAGATCTTACTCCAGAACAGAGTGACTTTGGCACTGTTGACATTCGGGCCAGAATCATCTCAGTTCTAGGGGCTCTCGTGTGCACTGCAGGCTATTAAAAAGCATCCCTGGCCTCTGCTCATGGGGTTCCAGGAGCACCGCCCCCTCAGTTATGATGACATTGACAAATTTCTCCCTGGGTTACGGGGCCAATTACCTCTTGTTGAGGACCATAGATCTGGAATAATTGGAAAGAGCACATTTGGAAGGACCCCTAACTCTGAGCATCTGTGATACTTTTGTTATGAGTTGATCATTTCCTCCCAGAATATTTTATCATTCCTATCCGGGACAAGGAAGGGGTATAAGCCTGGCTGCCGGTACTCTCGAGTCACAGTTATTTGTATGGTAATAATCATCACAATAGAATAAGAACTTTAGAATATTTCCCAAAATGTAGAAAGGGAATTGAATTATAAAGTGATC